TGTACCTGCCCCGGGTGATTATGGTGATGGAGAATTTGGTGGAATGAAGATTGATAGGGGAAACCGAAGTACTCGGAGAAAATTCCTCCCCAGCGCCACTTTGTCCACCACAAATCCCACTTGACCAGACCCGGGATCGAACCTGGGCCGCCGCGGTGGGAAGCCAGCGATTAACTGCATCGTAAAGAGTTTAATCAGCATAGAAAATGGTGCTCGGTAACGCTCGGCTACCCGCAGTTGTCATAGTTTTCTAATTTCATTAATAGATCTTCCATATTCATATTGTTTACTTTTGTAGAGCGTTGCACAGCAGACGTTACAATATCGCATCCAGAATTTCGTTTCGGGAATGTTTTGAAAATCAAATAACAGCGTTTTATTACTCAAATCCACAAATGAGCTGTGTTTATGAGTGTGTTTTTCCTCGCCATATCTGTTGTACTTTCTTCTATAAATAAAACAGCGGTTTGTAGTGGGATTATTCGGAGATTCGGGGATGTTGAACCCACAGATTTCCACACGCTTGTAGGTTTAACTGCGAAGTTGTATTTCATGAATTAAACTGTTCGTGAGGTGTTCTTCAGGTTCATGACACCATGTAGTCTGGTAGGTGGGGACCAACCTTCCAAAGAGAAATACTGCCATTTTTAGGGTAAACACGAAAATAGAGGCAGTATGTTCCCCCCAGGACATTCGTACCCAACAGACTGTACATGGTCGTAACTCAGAAGACAGTAAGCTTCCTCACGGCCTAAAAGTCTCAAATCTTACACAATTAAACAGTTGCTTACGTTTGTGGGCCTGTATTTTTAAATGTAACAAATAGCAGTGACATAAATTTTATAATCGTAATCACTGATTACCGAACAGAGAACCTGCTGGAAAATGACGAATTGAGTGATGTGGCAACGTTGAACTCAACAATTGTCCGGCCACCAGAGGATAGGGGAACGTTTCTTGACTAGAAAGCCAGTCAATAAAATCATTAAGGCCATGGTGATGGGTCGTTCGGCTTACGAAAAAGCTGTTTTCTGTGGTCCTGTATGACTTCGCATACCCAGGTGTCGTGTCTCGCTTTCAGAAGAAGGGGATTAAGGTTGCCTATTATTGTTGAGGGACTTGTGAGAGGAGGGGAATGCCTTTAGAAAATAAGTTCCAGCGAACGGAGTGTGGGATGCCAACTAACTGGACTCCACCCGCAGCCACAGAACACTGGGCCCTGCAGCCTCTTGCATGGTCTAAAATCGCCACCCTTCTTCATTGAAGATGTCGGTGGCTTAATCTTCCCTTTATGGCACTGAAGGACAAGCTTTGCAGGTGTCTCAATTACAGTCAAGCTTTCTGACTTCTTCCGAATGCAGTCTTTCTTACACGACTGTAAATGCCTTAGAGTCAACTAAGTGGGGATTATTAAATGAATTGTGCAGCTATAAAGTCACTTTTATTATTATATTTCACATCTTCTTTCAGGATGTAGGCATTAGTGCCTTCTTCGGCCTCTGAAGTAACTCTACTTTGTCCTCTCCTTTCCTTTGCTTCTTTATCCCTTAGTTTTATATGTTAATGCTCTTATTTTTGGAGGGGTGTCTGTCGTTCTGTTGAACATGTTGAAACCACATCAGTCAATATGACTGAATTATATTATCGTTTTGTATGTCTGCGTTTAATTTTTAACATTAATTGCGAACTATATCCCATTTTGTACAACCTTCAATCCTGCATAAAATGTTTAATCTCTGCAGCCTCTATCTTGTTATTGTCTTGTCAGGTTGTGTACCAGTGAAAGCAAACTGTACACAAGTGCATCTGAGCCTGTAACTTTGTCACATTTCATTGTCTTGTATTATCCCGCGGCTTCTGTTAACTGTGTCACTACACGTCTGCTACTTGAACCGTTTGTATTCTCTCTTGTACGAGTATACGTGAGTCGTTTGAAGGGTATCATCTTAAGCCTTTGATCTTACCGAAGCTGTGCCTAAGAAGGCTATAAGTTTTGTTTTTTAGCCGATATTATGCAATTATAAGTTTGACGTACACGATTTGAAACACTCCAGTATTACTTACTTATACTTAATCCGTTCCTCATGCCTTACGGTGTCGAGGTTGCTTCTTTTCATTTTGATCATTTTACAGAAGGTAGGACTCCTTGGACGAGTGATTAGCCCGTCACAAGGCCTCTATGTAAACACAGGACAACACAAAAACAGACTGAACACACATACCGAACATTCATGCCTTGTGTGGGATTCGAACCCATAATCCCGGCTTCCGAGCGACCGAAGACAGTACATGCCTTAGACCGCTTGGCTACCGTGACCGGCCCAGTCCAGTATTGGTGTTTGTAATTTAACCTCTTTAAGGTCATAGCTGTTCCTGATGTTAATTAATTAAGCACCACGCCATGAAGATGTATAGTTGCACCATTGTGACCTTGGCACTAGGTGAAGATGAGTGATCGGCTTCACGCAACTGCCACGTTACCGAAGGCACTCACTGTATAGGAGGCTGGGTAAGTCCCTGAGCCGATGTGGACATTCTGAAGAAGAGAAATAGCTCTTTATATTTGAGATTTATCGTCAGATGGTCACCAAAAGCGGGACGTGTTTGTACCTCAGACTTCAAGTTCTTCCACTGTCTTACAGTTTCGGCTCTATGGGTGATAGGTGCCTTGTCACATCTTTCGTAGTTAGTGTCCCATACTGAACAAACGCGTTAAACAAATTTAGTCATTAACCGCTTTGTGTTATTTTAATCCCTACGACTGGCATACAGCTTTGTGTTATTTCTCCCCTCACATCCTGTTGTTAGGAGCGTTTATGTTAGACCCCAGATGCCTTAACGCTTTAACTGTTTGTAAACTGAAATTATTAGAAGAAAAGCGTTGGTAGTACTTTTTATTCATCTTGTTTGTTTTGCTCGGATGGAGACATGGAACTGAATACGTGCAGAATATCCACATCATTTCACTGTTTGGATTACAGCTTAGCGAAATAGCCGCCGGTATCCTGTTATTGTCTTCCACTTTTAGGTGTTTTGTCCCATTAAGCTCAAAATGAGCAACGGGCTGCATTAAATAACCAAAGCGTCTGCTCTAATGAAGATCCCGAAGTTGCCAGCATCAAGAAACTGCAGAGATTACGTTGTTTCTTTAACTACTAGTCTGCAGCTCCTTTCGGTTCGTTACATTTTAGCATTGGGGGCATGCGGTAGCGTTGTTGGTTGAGGCACTACAAGCCGGAAGGTCGCGGGATGGAATCCCGATGAGTGATATTTTTTTCAATTTACCTAAATCTTCCAGCCGTACTATGGCCCTGGGGTCGACTCAGCCTCTAACAGAAATGAGTACGAGGAATATTCTTGGGGGTAAAGGGCGGCCAGCGCGTAAGGCTGACAACCTCATCGCCATCTGTAAGCCGATTGTCTAGAAAATGTGGGAACCTCAACATCTCACAACCCTATTGGCCTCCACGGCCTGCTACAGGGATACCTTTACATTGTAGCATTAGATTCCCTAGTTCAACAGATAAGCATTTAATACCACTGCGTTCTTATCATGAATAGTCTCCGCTATGTTACTTTTGGTGGCTGGCTATGACATATACAAAACATATTGTTGTTGCGAGACTTTATTGTACCGTACAACCTATCGGAGTACTCGGATTAATATTGTGACATGTGGGCCGTTTCTAGGAAACAAATTGGCAAATATACGTTGCCACGGAGAGATTACGGAACGCGGGTTCCTTGGATACGGAAACCGAAAGTTGTAAACACTTAGAAACCAGATCGTTGCTCGGAATTAACACGCGGTTTCCGAGACAGAGCAATCTTGAAGAGTAGTAATGGAACCATTGGAGGCGGTGCTCTCTATTCGGTTCTGTCGCAGTTCTAAAAGGGAGTTCATTCTTGCATTCCATATAGTCAGGTTGTTCTCCATAGAGGCTCATCGGTGAGACGTCGTTCACAGGGAGTTCAATGCGTGAACCGTTATAATTGACTGTAATTGTAAAGAAGTGGGAATAAACCCAGTCATCAAATCCAGAACCCGTTATTAGTCACGCCAACCCTGAATACGTGACAATATGAAGACAGGACTCTGAGCATTTAAAACACAATGGTTAGTTATTTATCACTTTCTCTGTCGTTCAAAATCTTAGCATCTTACTTGCTGAACAAACTTATAAGTTTCATGTGGTTTTCGAAATAAACGGCAATTACCGGTATATCCCCAAATAGCATTAACGGATTTGTTTCTGCAATGGACACACGAAGTTTTCTGTGAGGTAGGAGCTGCTTTTTTAAATATTATTAAGATTAATGTTAAGCGCCAAAAGGTTGTTTTGGTCCGGTTTAAGTGATATTCTTGTTTTATGTCGTGTGCCTACTTATTCGCAGATGCATAGACTTTTCATTATTGGTTACTCATATTTGCTGTACACGTTTAGTGTTTGATTCCGGGAGGATGTCCACTTGATGCTGTTAATACATTGTCTTTCATAGGGGACGCAACTCCCGACCCCTCTTCCTCGTGAGTGGTTGTCTGGAACAAAACGAACATAAGGGTGGATACTTTCTTCCATCCTCTCCCTCGTTCTGTGGTGCAAGGAGGCATGGATGAAATGAGTCAAAGATGATCTACCCAACGACTCTCTATAGTCCGTCTTTGTACTCTCACTGTGCTGTGTAGGAAATGAACACCGTAGTCTTTGTTAACACAGATTACATCGCAATTACACGAACTGGAACCGAAACATGGACTGAAGTCAGTTAAGTTGAAGATATAGTTAGATTATTTCGGAAGAGAGTTTGTGAAGAAGTGGAAGAAGTTGTTTGTCTTTCAGCGTCTTCACGCACAAATGCTGTATACTGTTGGTTCAGATAATGCTGTAATGCAATAAGAAGTGGATGAAGTGTTTCTTGTTCTCCTTTTGACTCCAATTTCTTTCGTTTTCTGTCTGCCCCTCCCTTTCTCACTCTAGTAGAAGTTTGTTTTCTTTTAGTCGGACCCTTATTCGGCCCCGGTGCTGGTCGCTGTGGGTCCGAAGCTCTGGGCCTCGGTCTTGGCCTTGGGCTTGGCCTGGGTTTCGGGCCGGCGTATCGCTTCGCTGCTGCCAACCCTGTACTCGCCAAGGGCCGTTGCCTTCTATTCGACCAAGGTAGGCCCAAGAACCTAATTCTTCTACTTCTGCACAGTTTCCAGTTCTGTACTCTGTCATTAACCTGTTTTGTTTTCCCATTATTCCTAATCTTTTTGGCCGTTGTGACCAAGGTCGAATCCTTCATTTGTGTGTACTGTTTTTAACGATTGGTGTTAATAACGTTTCACTGGCTTAAGATTTATTTCTGACTTGCTTGTCCACCATAGAGTTCCTTCACCTTACGCACTTTATTTCAATTGTCATAGATATCCGTTTGCAGCTGCAAGCGATATATCGATATTAACGACAGTATATAAGTAAACTCAAACTTATGTTGTAATATGGAACACCCTCTTCCAGGCTGCGTTGCGCAGTAGGTACTGGGGCCACTTAGTAATCGTCCAGACTTTCCCCAGATGGTGAACTCATCAAATGATATAAAGCGAAATAGTTCGTTTTCGTCTTCTAGAGAAAGCATTGATCCAATATGGTTGTAGGGGGATGGTGTATTTGTGTAAGCTCTGCTTAATCCGCCCAATCCTTCCCCAAGCTTTTGGTTCCTCGCAACCCTCCCGACCTCAGTCGGCTTCGGCGGGCAGTTGTCACGGATTACGGTGCAAACAGGAAGAATTGCAATGAGGTTGATCTGCATACTGTAACGAGCCTGGCGGGCGACAGCTGGTGCACTGACTCTTCTCAGTAGCCTCTCTGGACACGCACACACACACTAAACATATGGAGAGATCAGTAAGAGCTCACTGGTTAACTGGATGGGGCGAGTGATGAAGGGGAGGTAGAGGAGTGATGGTGACTTTGTTAGCAGTAATGTTGTATGAAAGATAAGGGATTTGTGAAATATAAAGATATGTCTGCGACATTATTCAAGTGGAATCATGGAGAGCCGTTATTCACACACACACACACACACACAAAATACTAATGTAGCTATTCTGTCGTATATGCTCCTTATGTATGGTAGCGGTCGGTCAGTTCTTAATAGTTACGAACAGGAGCAGATTGTCGCAGCAGTAAACGACAGTGGACGGTACGCTTGAAACTGTAGTACAGTATCCACCTTTACAGCAAATAATTGGCACCGTAGTCTGGATAGCAGTATTTTTATTCTGTTAATTTAGTAGCTTCATGTAAGTGGTTAGCCTGTTGAGAACTTTTCCAGGTTCACTGCTTGCGCGTTCAGTGAACACGTACGAGTCTGGCTCGGGTTCCAATGAGCCAAACTCATCCGTGTGTGGGTCGCCGCGCTCATACGTGTGTGGTGAAAATAATCGGAGCCGGACTCGCGAGCCAGACTCGTACGTGTATGGGCCGCGTTAACGATCAAGCAGAAGGATTGAACGCAGGGTTTATTTGTTCTTAAAGTATTCATTAGTTACTGTTATCGGCGTGTTTGATTCAGCCCATGTTAACAAATTCATTTAAACGAACTTGTGGATTATAAACAGTGAGGAACAGTCGAGCGATTTGCTGCTGTTTGCATGTCAGCACCATGGTGAGATTAATACAGTTTCTTGCGCTGAAGCCCGCGATTGGTGATTATTATTTCCACTTAATTTCTTATCACGAATTTAAATACCATCTTATCTTGATGCTCACAGAAAATGTGTGAGAAGTGAAACTACTAAAGTAAGGCCTCAGTAAATTAATTTTATAGCACAGTCATTTAACTAATTCGTTGGAGCTGTGCCCTGCTTGAAGAGCTAGGTGTCACTCGGCTGGTCAGGGCATTCTCATCCAACCCTTGAAATTCATTGTAATATTGTCGCATGTTCATGTGGTCTCTTTCCTTCAGTTTCCTTACCAAAGTATGTATGCATTTCTTATGTCTCGTATATGGAATATTATTAAGTAGCTTGAAACACATTTTTCTTGCGTCTTTGTTCCGAAAGATATGTCCATTTTTTGTTGGTGTGGCTAATTCTCTTTCGTTTATGTAAACTGCTCACACGTTCCTCGCCGAGTTAAGTGGGTTGCGTATAAGAGGGCTTCTGTAGATAGTCCCGAAGGAGAAGGGCGGGAGGGAGGGAGACTGCGCTTGTCTTCATTTATGCCGTTTATTTGGTCTTGAATGAGTGCAGAATATTGCGTGTGTTCGGCAGGATTCAAATGATATAAATATTGCGAGCCAGGCACTCATATCCTCTCTGCAATGTGCATGCTGTCGGGACTTCATGGTCCAGATTGACAAAAAATGTAATACATTTTCACAGAGGGTGAGGGTGAGTGGGGCTGCCGTATTGAAGCGCTTGGCTTTATCAGTGTTGAGTCGTTATTACGGGGAGTTTGCTGTACAACAAACGAAGAAGAGGTAGCCCCTTTTATCTGAAACTAACATAATTAAAGTACAAGCAGCGTAATTTCACTTAATTAAATTCCCTTCTTTCGGAGACGATATGAACTTTTTTCCACCCAATGAACATTAAAACTCGGCGTTTAATTTCATCAGGATCTAAGAGAGATTTGACCATAAAAAGAAGGGGAGAATAGAGGGCGAGAGAAAAAAAAGCAGGAAGGCTGAGGAGCGAGAAGTGAGGGAAGAAGTAAAGAAAAAAAGGGAAAAGAAATAAGGAGGAAATAAGGCATTGAGAAAACTTTCGGCATGAGAAAGTGGCAAAGCAGAGGATTCGTCAGGCATGAAGTATTCTGGTAGACTGGCGGGTCCAGCAAATTCTCGTTTCTGTAGCTCCGAGGCGTGGAGAGGTATGTGCGGCCCAGTGGAATTGTAGCATTATCAAAGAATAAACAGTCTTTACGAGGTGGGGTTGGCATGTTTTACATTTATTCAGTTTGTCAAATGAAATTGAATGTAGACGCTGTCGAGCTTTGGCTTCATTTTGGCTGACTTCAAAGTATATTACGAGCTATGACTGAAAGACGAAAACCGAAATGAAAACCACCAAATAGTCATGATGCATTAGGGCAGGTTTGCTTTCCATGTAAGGTTTTCTGAAAGAATTACTCATTCTTTTCCTTTAATGCACCGTATAATCCTGTGCATATTTCTTCTTCTCTTAAGCAATCCTTGAAGTCAAGTGCCGTGGATTTGAAAATGGCTGCGCACGCCTTCGTTCTAATTCAACACGTATAAAAGCAACAAATCATATCACCATTTGTGAGAAATGTTCACTGCCACAGCAGATACGAAGTAGATGGTAATATTTGGCCATGCAAAGCAGTCAGATTCACTCGAAGGCCCTAGATTGTTCAGAATCATCTGCCTTGTTATCAATTGCTGATTCAAAGCAGTCACATCCACTCGAAGGCCCTAGATTGTTCAGAATCATCTCCCTTGTTATAAATTGGTGATGCAAAGCAGTCAGATTCACTCAGAAGGCCCTAGATTGTTCAGAATCATCTCCCTTGTTATTAATTGGTGATGCAAACAGTCAGATTCACTCGGAAGGCCCTAGATTGTTCAGAATCATCTCCCTTGATATAAATTGGTGATGCAAAGCAGTCAGATTCATTCGGAAGGCCCTAGATTGTTCAGAATCATCTCCCTTGATATAAATTGGTGATGCAAAGCAGTCAGATTCATTCGGAAGGCCCTAGATTGTTCAGAATTATCTCCCTTGTTATCAATTGGTGATTGTGTCTATACGTTCATGAGATAGATGAATTCTTCTGGCCGAGATTTAAAAGCGCCGAAGACGTCATAACCACCTTCTTTGATTTTATATATATGTATATATGTGTGTGTGTGTGTGTGTGTGTGTATGTGTGTGTTTATTGCCAAATACAGGGTTGTACTTTCCTAGAATTGTAGGCCAAATTGATATGATTTTAATTATATATGATTTAGCTAGATTGGGTTTGATAAATGCAGTTACTTAAAGGAATTAATTTCCGCTTTATTATTTTGATTCGCGTTTTGAAGCCATCGAACTGATTTGAATTATATAAATATTACAACACTTTGATTAGGCAAATTCGCTGTAATATGTCTTGAAACTTGAAATTCTCTGTAGATTTTTGCTTCCAAAAATCTTGACCCGAAGACTTTAATGGGCCAAAGGTGGCGTAACCTAAGCAGGTCCAGGTCAGAATCGTATGGAAACAAATATGAAATGAACGTTGGGAGATGTGATGTAGATTTGTCTTCGTTTACCAGTAGCGTTGATAATATTCGATGTAAGGGTGAGAGAGCCTGTTCTAATAAACCAGCTGCAAATTAGAGATTTTTATTACATTCCGACGTCAGGGACCTCACTGTTTTCGAAGAGTGACGCGTCGCTGTTGTAAGGCGCCGCGAAAGATTTTGTTCTATGAGTACGAAGGCGATGAACATGTTTCTTGGCCACTTTTGAAATTACACAATTTACATATATGTTCATTTTTGTGAATTTAAAAAAAAAATTACATCTCTTTGTAAATCACTAAAACATTCCGTCTCGCCGGCCGCTACTTCGAAAATTAATAATATAAACTGTGTATTCAAGTGAAACTTGCATCGCTTAAGGAAATGATAAGAGTTATCTCTGTGGCTTTATTACTTGGCAGTTGGTTAGTTCCCAACGAGTGCAGTCTGTGAAAAGAGAGTCGAATCTTTGTGTCTTGAATCCATGTATCCTGTAAATCATATTAATAAATCATTTATTGTTGTTTACTTTTCCTTCCTTCTTATAAAATTTCCCAACCACAAAAACCGATATTGTACGGTCTGCTCGGTTACAGGGTGTGCCATTTAAAATACAATCTACAAACCGCAATTTGCTGGACAATAAATTTTATTAGTTAGTGTATTATTGTTTTATTCTGTATTTCCGTGCCAGGATACTCATTGCTAATGGTTCACAAACAGTCAACTAAGTAACATCTACAAGTTTGTGACAGTCGTACATTACTACAAATATTATGTTTCTGGACATTATCCACCGTCTTGTCTTTATCTAAAACCGCCCTGTTTATTTTCCAAAACTTCCAGAGATTTGATTCTGTCTCCGTCTTCAGGTAAAACCTCCTCAGTTGGGCCCAATCGATAGGGCCCACTTGAATAGGTT